CGGAACGTATCCGTGCGAATGCATACCAACGGGATCGCGCCCCGGAATCCAGGCCGCGAGCGCGCGGAGACGGATGTGCTCGCCGCTCGTCATCTGCGGCGGCCATCGGCTCCGCGGGGGGCGCGCCCAAAAAGGGTTCCCTGAGATACCAGCGCTTCGATGTCTCGAGCCAGGCATGTCAGCCCGGACAGATCAGTCCGCCTCGAAATGGCGCGGAAAGATGGGATCCAGGACTCTGGTCGTGTGCCTGTTCCGATCATCTATAGTCGGGCTGCTGAAAGAAGGAACGCCAAACTAGGAACGAAGCCCCTTCTTGTCCCTGTAAGCGCCTCCGTGCCCCAGGAGGGCAAGAGGCACGGCACTGGAGGAGCCTAAGGAGCATCGAGCCACTTCAGAACCCAAACTGTTCCTCACTTCAGCGTTTTGACTGTGTTAACCAGCCTCGAACGTATCCCTATCCCTAAGATGGGCGAGCAAAAAGCGAGGGCACTCTTAGGGATAGGCACTCAAAAACTGAGGGAATCCTTAAGATCGGCATCGAGGTGCGGTGATGTCAAACATAGGGATAGGGATATGTTCCAGGCTGGTAATGGATTGCTTTGCGACGTCAGGTCTCAGGGTAGCGCGAGGGGGGTGGTCGGCGAAGCGGCCCCAGGAGCCCCCGAACTGGCTCCAGGACGAGCCTGGATTTGTGGATGCCATGGCAATGGACACTCTAACAATCCAATCATTGAATTAAACATGTGTTTAGCATGTGTTTACCAGCCTGGAACATATCCCTATCCCTAAGATTGACACGCCAAAAGGAGATGACAATCTTAGGGATACACCCTCAGAAACTGAGGAGATCCCTAAGATCGCCATCGTGATGAGGCGATGCCCAACATAGGGATAGGGATATGTTCCAGGCTGGTAAACTCTAACAATCCTACCATTGATTTAAACATGTGTTTAAAATGTGTTAAACATGTTCTAACAACCTGTCAAACCGTTTTTGTAACATGTTTCAAACAGTGTTTAACATGCTCTGGACATCCGGAAATGATTCGGCAACGTGCTTCCTCTCCATGGATCGCCCTCCACAAGCCTGGATGCAGACATGCTCTGCTGGGTCCAGGGCCAGCGCGAAAATCGACTGGCTCGGTGCGGCAACCGCATCGACCGCCCGGCGCCACCGCAGAACCGACCGGCCCGACCCGCCAGGCCTGGCATTGCCGCAGTGCCGCTCCGGCAACGCTCTTCGCGGTAACGCCCCCCAGGGCTCACTGGACACCGACACCGCCAGAAGCTCGATCTAATGCAGTGGCGTGCGCCAGGCCGAGGTGCGAGCGGAAACCGGCACGATTCGCAGCCCAGGCCGCCAATGCAAGCCAGAAGTCGGAATGGATCTTATGCTCCTGTACCAATACCACATCAGCAGACGTCCTGTTGACAACCTGTGCGTGGCAGGTGGCCCAAGAGTTCGCGTTGGCCGTGTCGATGGTCCAAACGCCATCCGGCCCTGAACCAACGATGTCACTGTACACAGGGCCCGATCCGGCCTGAACCAACGATGCCGACAGTTCGCAGACCGACCGGCCAGGAGGGGGGGGTTGGTCTTCGAAGCTACGAGGGCAGCTCCTGGGAGGCCTTCGCCAGAACAATCAAAGGCTGTTCAGCCCGAAGTTCGGGCCATTGGACCAGACTAGACTGAATCAGGCTCTGGATTGAACCAGATCAAGCGGGATTAAGCCAAGTTGCGCGGGATAACATTGGATCTAGTGGGCTTACGCAAAATTAAGCCACATGCCGACAAGGGATATACCAGCGCCAATTCTGAGTGTAACCTGCCAGGAGTTGCACCCCAGAAAAGGATAGCGAGAGATTAGTAGCTTTTGAAGCGGCCCCAGAGGCCCCCACCATGGCTCCATGGCGGACCTTGACACCATCCTCAGCCACCTAAGTCGGCCACGCAGGCCAGATCACGCTCCCGAAAACCTCTGTGGATTCCCAATCGGGGATCTTCTGACCAGGGTCAGCAGGAAACCAAAGACTGCAATGCAGGAAAAAACTGCAACGCAGGTCCTCGCAAGCCCGGGTCAGCCAGTATGCGCGGCCGCCCTCGCGGCCGCGAGCGGCTCGCTGACCCGGGTCAGCCAGAGGGGGTCTCTTCGCAGGATACTGCAGGATCCTGCAGGATCCGTTGCCCTGGCTGACCCTCGTTTGCATTGACCCCCGTCTCTTGAGCCCCGACGTCTTAGATCTTGGATACCTCCGGACGCCCTCTTGGGCCAACTTTTGATCCTCTTGGAGCCATCCTGGGCCGTCTGAGGCCCCTTCTGCGGCGTCTTGAGGCCGTCTTGGACTGGCCATCGCTCGGTGCCCTGGCTGACCCCCGGTTTGCGTTGACCCCCGTGTCAGGGCTCCCGACCCGAGGGCGCCCAGGAGCCTCCGGGAGCGCCCACTCTCCGTGGGAGCCGGGGCCCCTTTCGGCGGGGCGGGGGGCCTCAAAGTCTGCCTTCCAAGAAAGGCCCCTGCCATCGCTCGGAGGTCCACTCCCTGTGCTTTTGTTCGGTGTCGTGCGTGGTTTTTTTTTTCGCCAAATGATCAAGGATGCTCCTCGATGGTCCTCGCCGAAGGACACACGTCGGGAGCGGCCAAGAGGGTGGTGTCCAAGAGGGAGGGGGTGCAAATCATGACCGGCGGCATGTGCGTGGCCCAGCGGGGGGAACAGGGACGTAATGAACTAAGAAGAGGCGCCATGAGATCTGGGGAACTATCATGGCCCCCGCCATGATATCCACCCCTACCCTCTGGCCATCGCTCGGACGTCCATTCCCTGTGCTTTCTTGGATTTCGTGCGTGGTTTTTTCGCCAAATGATCCAGGATGCTCCTCGATGGTCCTCGCCGAAGGAACAATGCACACGTCCGAGCGATGCCAAGTAGATGGGGTCGGAGTAGCTGGGGTCGGAGGATCGCACCGCATCGACAAGGCATCACCGACGCATCGTCGATGCATCGCGACGTCGGCGACGCATCTGCGACGTGTTGGCGACGTCGGCGTCCTCGCCGAAGGACAAATGCACACGCCCGAGCGATGCCAAGCCCTGGTCATCACACCCCTCTTTGCCGCCCCCGAAAGTGCACACGTCCGAGCGATGCCAAGAGAAAGGCAGCCCTGTGCTTTTTTCTCGCTGTCGTGCGTGGATTTTTTCGCCGAGTGAGCAAGGCTGCTCCTCATGCACACGTCCGAGCGATGCCGAGAGAAAGGCAGCCGCCTCCTCCATCCGAGGCCCACCGCGGCCCTCCCCGCGCCACCCCCTCGTGCGCGGCGCGCCGCCCGTCCTGCCGCCTGGCGAGCTCGTGCTCGGCAGCGAACCTCAACTTCTTCTCCGACAGCAGGCTCTTGAAGAGGAGCCGGTCCTTAAAAGGGGCCCCGGGACACACAAGTAAATACACACAAATAGCAGGACCCCTCATGATTTGTTTTATATTTTCTGGGTTTTCGTCTTCCCCCCCACTTCCCATATTTTCCCATATGTTCCTGGTGATCGACGATTAATTGTGTCTGTGTTTCTTCCCCTCTTGAAGAGGAGCAGGTCCTTAAAAGGGGCCCCGGGGCACACAGATCCGCCGCTCCGGCGTGGGAGTTTTTGAGAGCGTGGACCTGAGCTCGCTCACGCTTCGCTCTGCAGGGGGAGGGGGGGGCACGTTATTTCCGACGTCCTTTCCGACGTTTTTCGGTACACGGGGATATTTCCGACGTCATTTCCGACGTTTGTCGGTACCCTGGGACAGGGGGGTATAGAAAACTCCACTTCCAGAGCCCCGACCGCCCAAGACAGCCCAAGAGGTAGAGAGGCCCCAGAGGACCCCTAGACAATGCAAGAGGGCCCCGAATCGCCGAAACATCGCTCGAACCGCCCAAGATGCCCCGAAGACAGTTCCAGAAACCTCCAAGACGTCCCCAGGATCCCTCACGACACTTCCAAATAATGCCCAAAGACTGACAAATAGACCCACTCCCTCTGGAAAACTTATATTTTCTGCATATTCGTTCCTGGGGCCTTCACAATGTCCAAGACGGCCCCAGAGCTCCCTAAGACACGCCAACAGAGAGGGCTCCAAGACGGCCCCCGAAAGGCCCAAGACGGCCCAGGAGAGCCACAAGACGATCCAAGTCCAGAGCCCAGACCGCACAAGACGGCCCAAGAAAAAGCCAAGAGAGGCCCAAGAGGCCCCCTAGACGGTCCAAGAGGACCCCGACTCGCCGAAACATCGCTCCAAGCCGCCCAAGATGCCCCCAAGACGGCTCCAGAAGCCTCCAAGACGTCCCCAGGATCCCCATCATCATCTCGCTCTCACCCCCCCCGGATCGGCGGCACTGGCCAGAGGCCAGCCCAATAAATACACACAAGTAACAGGATTCCTCATATCTTTCCATATTTTCTGGGTTTTCGTCTTCCCCCCCACTTCCCATATTCCTGGGGATCGACGATTAATTGTGTCTGTGTTTTTTCCCCTCCTGAGTCCTGTACTTCGCTGTGCCGCTTTCCGACGGCCGCCAAGAGGGCCAGCGATACCGCACAGAGGGAGAAGAGTGGGAGGGTTTGCGGCGGAGATGGGCTGCCAAACGCAAAGATCGGCAGCTCGAACACAAGCACCAGAGTAATCTCCAGCGGGAACACAAACACCCAACGGACGGGAGCCAGGTGCCCGAATGACCCACACAGATTGAGGCAGAGCAGGTTCAGGCCGTCAGTGTACCCAAGATCGCGGCCCCACACTGCGCTGGGATCGTCGTAGCCCAACATTATCGCGAGATAGAAGCGGCTGCAACCGATTGTCATCAGCATGCAGACAGCACTCACCACGGTCGTGGTGAACTCCATGTACAACAATGCGACTCGCGGCGACACGTGGTATCGGTCTACCGCCTTCGCCGCGATCAACATCACTGCCAACACGCCCGTGCCGCCATAGAACACAGTCACCTGAGTGACGACAAGAAACAGGTTTTGCGGCATGATGCAAGAAGGCGTGTGGCCCTCACGCCGCGGCTTGCGCGGACCGGCAGCGCGGCACGCCACACTGGAAACGAGGGCGCTTACAGTCGGGGCGTTGACCTGAGGAACGATAAATAAGGAACGAGGCACCTTTTTCCCATAAGTTAAACTCCGATTTTCCATGGAAATCCTGAGGAAAACCCAAGGAGCGCTGTAAAACAACTAAGGAACACGGAGCCCCTCCCCAACGAAAAGGGTTCCTTCCTCAGGGCCCCGACTGTACTGCACGCGCGATCTTGCGCGGGCAACGTACGCCCGGATGTCGACGAAGACGAACCCGCTGTTCTGCGTGCTCGCCTGCCACTTCCTGGACCTCATAGCCGCATCTGTGGGGTACTGGTCAACATTCCAGAAGTTCTGCGCTAGAGAAATGCCGGAGCACAGGATGACTAGCCAGACCATCATAATGGACGTCCATTCGGTCAGCCGCTGCCTCCTTGAAAGCATGAAGCCCGTCTCAAGACCTGCGCTTTGGAACCTCAGAGTCCAGCGGCCAATCCCGCCCTCATACTGCATACAATCCGTTGGGCGGTCTCGGCCAGGAAGCCGACCATGTGGGCGCCGACGAGGCATGTCCGCTCAAGACGAGCTCAGACGAGCCACCAAGCTCTGAGCCAACAGGGCTGGGAGGATGGGGAGGATGGAGAGGAGAGGGCGGGCAAGGTGGGGGAAACAGATGGGCGGCAACTCCTGGGAGTTCTGCGTAAGAGCAATAGAGGGCGATGAAGCCCGATTACCGGGCCACTGAGCCGCACTGACCCACATCAGACCCAGGATTCAGCCGGATGGAACCAGATGAGGACGGATCGAACGGAACTGAACGGGACTGTGCCAGAGCAAGTTGGCTTCCAAACACGGATATGCCGGCGCCGATGATGAATTGACATCCCAAGAGCTGCATCCTAAACAACGCACCTGGAGAAAAAGAAGTACTCCGCGCGGACTCCTCGGATCTGTGCTGGACCCCCTGCCCTGGCCATCGGTCGGACGTCCACTTTCTGTTCTTTTTTCGGTTTCGTGCGTGGTTTTTGTCGCAGGATGATCCAGGATGCTCCTTCATACTCCCCGCCGAGAAAAAAGTGCACACGTCCGAACGATACCAAGTGCCTGGCGCGCGAAGCGCGCCAGGGGCGGCGCAAGAGGCGCTGCCACGGGGGCCCAGCGCCGATGCGAATAGTGCGTGCGGAGGTCCCAACATGGTGTATATGCTGTGTCTGCTTCGACTTTCATGGAATGCACCAGGGCTGGACCTAAACGGTGTTTGAGCGATTTCGTGGGCCGTTTTCGTTTCGACTTCGTTTTGCGGTAGAGGTGGATTGAGAACAAACGAGGGAAAACGGAAACAAAACGAAAACGAACAACACCGTTTGGGTTCAGCCCTGAAATGCATCCTGAACAATATACTGTTAAGCCAGAGTGGTGTGTTTAACTCTGCGAGGGCGATAATAGTCACTCGGTGTAATAAAGTTCGGGGTCCTGGCGGGGATAATAAAGGATTGCCTCGGGGAAGGTAAGTTATGATGATGGTACAGTTCGGCCTCCACGCCTATCTCCACAATTGAATCCTGTTGAACGGGGAAAATAAAATAAAAGGGGGTGAAGGGGGGGAGTACTTTATTATCGCCCGCACTCGGTTGATGTTAAGCCAGGGAAGTGGGTCTGACGCAGATTGGACCGCGGGAAAAAGTGCCACAGTATGTGCAATAGCTGGTGACTCGATGCAATGGTTTTCGCGCTTGGCGCAATAAGTGTGCGTGGGTACGCTAGCGTAGCTTTGTTTACATGCAGCAGAGTTCGTGCCTCCAGGTATAAGTACTTCCTGTTGCACGCAACAGTATACAATCCCACTAGCCCTCTGGGCGCGGGTGATCTAGTAAGGCTCCTCTTCCAACGCCCTCTTTCCACTTTGGGGAAGGGTTTGCGGCGGCGGCGGCTGCGGCGGCTGCGGCGGCGGCGGTGGCGGCGGCGGCGGCAGCGGCTGCGGCTGCGGCAATTTGGCAGCGGGGGCGGCGGCGGCGGCGGGCGGCGCGACGGCGGCGGCGGCGGCGAAGGCGGCGGCGGCGGCGGCGGCGCGGCGGCGGCTGCGGGCAGCGGCGGCGGCGGCGGCGGCTGCGGCGGCGGCGGCGGAGGCGGCGGATTGGCCCTCAGTAGCTGCCAGACGACTGCCGAATATGCTGAGGCTCTGGCCAGACTCGGGTGTTACGTATGTGTTGGGAGGGCGGGTGGGAGTGAGCGAGAAGGCTTGCGGGCGGGGAGGGAGTCTTGACCCCTCCCCCTGATCCCCTCCCCTGGACCTGGAGGGGTGGGGTCGCGGGTCGTTGGAGCGTCCAAGATGGCCAAAGATGGCTCTAGGAGGGCATGAAGGAGCCCAAGATGACTTCCAAGATGGCCCAAGATAGCCCAAAATTGCCCAATATGGCTCCCAAGATGCTCCAAGAGGCCTCAAGGCCTCTGAACGGCCACGGAGCATCCCCAGGAGGCCACCAAGAAGCCCAAATCCTTCAACAACTGGATGAAGATCAATAAACTGTGCGTTCTCGTCTCTTCACTTCCGCCTGGCCTTCCGAGGCCTCAAGGCAGCTCCAAGAGGGCACAGAAGGGCCCCAAGAGAGGCCCAAGAGAGCCCAAAAATGGCCCCAAGAGCGCCCAAGAGCGCTCCAAGAGCGCCCCAAGAGGGGCCCAAGAGGCGATGTGTGGGGCTCCCGCCCGAGAGGGGGGTCGTAATTGGAGTTCCCATCTTTCTGGTCGATCTCCTCCCAAATGGCATCAAGGGCGCTCCCAAGGCTCCTGAGGGCGCCTCCAGAGGGCCACAAGAAGCGCCCAAAAGGCCCCCCAGAGACTCCAATGAGACCCCCAAGACCCTCCCCGAGGCAGCCAAGACGCTCCAGGAGGCCCCCGGCGTCCTCTTCTTCCTCCTCCGCCTCCGATTCCTCCTCCTCCCTTCCCCTCTTGGTGTACGACGGTTTCTCCAGCTCTTCGTTCCTCTGTGAGCTTCCCCGCTTGTCTGATCAAGGCAACTCGCCTGAGCATCGGTTCCGGATGGGCTGGTGGAAATACGGGAAGCGTCAAGAGTTCATGAGTGATCAGCGACTGCGCCTTTCACCGCCGACCCCTCTGCACCAGACCCACGACTCCAGCTTGAGTTTCTCAGAATTGATAACTCTGCGGCTGTTTGGTTTCGACCCCTCGGGGGTACACCCTGAGCAGCATATCGAAAAAAATGAAGAGGCCCTGGGACACACACAGAAATGCACACACATAAACAGATTTCCCATATTTTCCCATCCCCCACTTCCCGCATTTTCCTATATTTTCTGCGGAATCGACGATCAATTGTGTCTGTGTGATTCTTTCCTTCAGAAAAAAGTGGGATGCACCTCTGGTGGGCAACGTCACGGGGGGGGCCAACGCACGGGGACCAACACTGAGCCCGACTCGGTGATGCATCGCCAATGGGTCGGCGACAGGTCCCCCATAGCAAGTCCGCACGGTCCCTGGCGGGTGGCTCTGCGGGCCCTCGCCGGCGATGCGTGAGCCATTACAGTCGGGACGTTGACCTAAGGAACCCTAAATAAGGAGCGAGGCCCCTTTTCCCCATCAGTTAAAGTTCGATTTCCCATCGAAAACCTAAGGAAAACCTAAGGCAAGGTGTGAACCAATCAAGGAACACGGAGCCCCTCCCCAACGAAAAGGGTTACTTCTTCAGCGCCCCGACTGTAGGGGTCGATGCGTCCCCCCATGAGCCCTTCCCCCACTTTCGTCGGGGTCCCAACCACAATGCGGCGACGGACCGCGAGGCCACTTCGGGACCCCCAGCGACCCCAGCGCGCGGTCCGTCGCCTCACAGTTTCGGGGGCCTTGGAGGCATCGGTGGCCCGAGACATCCTCGGAAAACGACTCAAGTCCCAAAACCGCGTGGTAGCCCCGAATCCCGGCTGACTCACCACGCGGCATGGTCACAGCGCCGTTTCGGGGCCCGCGCGCCGCGGCCGTCCCCGCACCCGACGTCATGTTTTTTGGGGTTCTCGAAACGTCGAACTCCCAAAAGTCGACCCATCCCCCCTGACCAGTTCTTCATCGCGGGCTATACCGGACCCGGGCGCGCGGCCAGCAGGGCGCGCGGCCGCCTTGGCGGCGCCGGCACCGGCCTGCGGCGTCTGCGGGCGCGCCGCATCGGCGCTCATGAACTCGAGGTCGTCGGCGGTGATCTTCCCGCCCCCTCGCCGCCGGGCGGGAGGGGAATTGCCGGGCAGGACTGGCCCGTGTCCAAGCCAGCTGGGAGCTTCGGGCTCCCTTCCCCAGGAATCCGAGGGGCACTGGTAGGCGGCGACCGCGGGGGGAAGTGAGAAGGGGCGGGCCTTCTCAGAAGGCTCGGAAGTCCCCAAGCCTTCTGAGAAGCTTCCCAAACCTTCTCCGAAAACAAAGAACACTTCTCAGACGTCGCGAGGGCTTCTGAGAAGTCCCGCCGCCTTCTGAGAAGGCTATCTCCTTCTCACTTCCCCCCCTCGCGCGCCGCCGAACTGGAGGTGGACGAGAATCTGGCCCCTACGGGCTCGACTTTTATTCATGTCCAGTGCGCCCCTTCCAAGGAAGCCCAAGACGCACTGGATTTGCACATAAGTCTTGCCCGCACGGGAGGCCTGCAGTCAAAACTGATAGCAAGCATGCGCAACAAGGATGTAAGCCCGTTGTGCGCTCGTGTTGAGGCACGTCGGGCGAGGCTTGCCATCGAAAGGGTTAAGGGCGGACCGAGGAAGCACGAATGCAACAATACCCCTGCAACAATTACCTGTGCTTACCTAGGGAAACCTGTACCGGTACCGCTACTCCCTGGACCTCTCCCTGGGTGCTTTCTGGCAAAAACTTCGAGGCGAATGCAGCAGTGGCGACGAGTGCCTCCCAGGAGGCCCCCAAAAGGGACAAACGAAAAAAAGTAGCGGTATGGGTACTTTTTCTTCCTCTGATTACCACTGGTTTCGACTGGACCTCCAACGACTCGAGAAGCTCGAAGCGGATATCGAGCGCTGCCTTCGTATTCGCGACAGCGCCCATGATCCGCCACGCCCCCCCTGGTCTTGTCATTCGCGCTGGCGCCGTCCGGAGATAAGCCATTCTTGAGCCAGTGCTCGACCTAAGCACTAAGCATTGGTTTTCATGTTCGTTTTGTTTGTGTTGTCCTTCGTTTTGTCTTCAATCCGCCGTTGCTACAAATCGGGGTTGTACAGAACCTCCTTTAGTAAAACGTGGTTTAGTGAAAACGACCTGAGGCCCAAACCTGGCGGGCGCAAGCCTGGAAAATGAAGGCCGCGGCGCCCCTCGAGAACCGAAAACTGACAATTCACTAATCGACGTGTCAGGGTGGGGTGTCTGTCCACCCCCGAACAAAACGAAACCGCAATGAAAACGGACCACGAAATCGCGAAAACACCCTTTAGGTCGACCCCTGTCGTGAGCTCTCTAGACGGCGTCGGCGCGAATCGTGATGTCACCGGCCCCCTTCCCCCCTTCGCCCCCCCCCCTCTCTGCCACGCCCTTCTCGACAGGTAACGAACGAAGGTCTCTCTTTTTGCACGTTTCGTGCCCAGGGTCCGTCAAAAACGAGTCAGGGTGGAGAGCTGGCTTCGA